TTTCAGTTGAACTGCAATTACGAAATAGAAAATTTAATTGGTTCAAGTTTTCATTTGATCAGGGTTTAATGTACCCAATCTACCTTCTCTGTAGTGATGGAAATACTCTAACTGCTTGTTATGTAACTGGAAACACAGATTTTAAATTTCTCTTCTGGATGAAAATCAACATAGTTTGCTCTACACCTTAAAATAATTAGCGCTAAATCTGGGCTGTGTAAGAAACTTAATTAATGGGATTGATGTGGTTGGTTATTCAAGCAAACAATAATTGCTAGTTGGGAAATGGTTGTGTCTACATAACTGAACAATTAGTAACATGTATAACAATATAGAAAGTGAATTTATTTTCATCAAGCTAGTTTACAAAACAACTTACCAAAAGGAATAATATATTCATCTTTAAGTGTTAAATCAGTTCTATGTAATTTATTTATACTAGAATGTGGTTGATAGTGATTTTGGGATAGTAAATTTCCATCAGAATTAAAAGCAGTATAATCTTTATTAATTTTATTATCTATAGTTGACAAAATAACCTTCAGAGTATTGCAATCATCTGGTACGCGATGCAGTTCATATTGACATGGTTGACCTGATAATGATATAGTGGAACATGTTACACGTCCAGCTAGATAAAGATGAGTTAACCGATTTGATAGTTTCTCTAAAAGACGAAATACTGAATGACCACGAGCTAAACCAATTGCTACATTATAAGCGGAAATAACCTATAACATTAGAATACAAAAAATGGAACAGAAATCATAGAATATATATTATATGTAAGTGCTGATTAAAGCAGAATGAACTGTATTACATGACATTATAATCCCCGCTACGTGAGAGATCATATATCATATACAAAGCTTGCTTTAGTTGAACGAATTTATCTGGCCACAGGTTCAGTTGGGATTTCCCATACTACTTCAATTACGAAAGGCAAAGGTGAGATAGCCGACAGCCTGTCAAGTGGAGTATACCACACACTGATACCAAGGTTGACAGATAAGAGTAAATTATAAACATAACTACTATACAAATTTTGTTTGCATGCTGTGGGACCATAGACTAAGCGCTTTCAAGGTTAAACGAAAGGTTTTCGACAGTAAGAGGAAGTCACTGAACAATTTCACCGATTTATGCTTATTAGGCAGGTTGCGTTACATGCTTTGCATGCCAAGTTACTTTATAGACGAATATGAGAAAGTGAATTAAGCGAAACAAGGCCAGGTGAAAAATAAGTTAAGGTAGACTAAACGAAGATATAATAATAGTTGGTAAAATGATTGACTTCTTTTCTGAATAGTACAAACTTCACAGATAACGTCACCGAAGCGATATTAGTCAGTGGTTTTGAACATTAAGTAACATACTAAAGTTGACGTCAATACATTTACCACATTTATTTTTGCTCATATTTTGAACATTTTGTTACTCGTGATTAGTTTCTCAGTCATCCCATGTTCATTTTGGTCATTTTAATAATTTATACCAGTTTTGTAGATTACCTCTTTCTGATTTGTTAGGGAGTGTGACAAGTTGGTCATCCGAGGGAGATTATCAGTTGATCAATCTACCTTCAATAGCAACCAGAAATCAGATTAAAAAAGGCTTCGGAACTGTACGTCTTAACGAATATCATTATGGGGTGAATATTATTTACATCTTACTTATTGTCTATGATGGAAGTAATGAGAAAACTTCATGAAAATTTTGCTATCCAATAACAACAAATGTAACCAGTGTACTTTTCACTGAACATTTACATTTTTTACTTGCTTAACACTGGGTTGTTTACGTTTATTTTCTGTGTGACACTAAAAATCCTAGACACAGACTACATGTATTTAGTGCGACATCCTAATAATTGAGACGAATAAATATCACACTACACACTAGTAGTATTTTAACTGGAATATGTATTCAACTAGACCGTTGTTGCTACCTTGACGTGGTGGTTGGGCTTGCCTATCATGATGAAGCAATCGAGCTATACTGGCTGGAACAATCGTTCCTAAAGGTCTTACTATGCCGGGCAGGTCGGTTGATGAACGGTAAGATTAAAGCAACAAACCCAAGGTCCGAAGGAGAAGTCGTACTACTGACTGTACAGAGGTTTGACGGCAGTAAGGTGTTTCCTTCAGACAACCAGCATGACAGCGATGCTGCCTTCCCACAAGGAGGGGTGGGGTTAGAAAAGGTCGACCATAAAAATGCACACCTCACCTTATCCCACGGATATCCATCTCTGGCGGTAATTTCTCAACGAGTACGGGGCTAACACAAAAATTACTCAAAGAGGTCGTGTGTGACCGACCTCAAGTAGTTGTCCCTTGGAAACAGCGGCCATGCGCTCAGGTTAATAAGACCACCTCTAATCCAATTTCCTTTTAAGGTACCTCCGGAAGAACTCTTTCACGGTGTGGGCAACCGTGAAATTACAACCGCCCTCACACCTCTAACAGCACTCAAGACCACTGTATTCATAATCAAGCTCCCTCTTCAGTTCCATTAAGAGTAGAAAACACTCGTAAGCTACTAATATTTGACCACAGATGCCTCAGAGATATTGCCGGCGTCTGCTGGGATCACAGGGTAAGTAATAGTGAGGTTAGACGCAGTGTACTAGGGAATGGTGGTTAATCAGTTGATGAGATTGTGAATCTTCATCGACTGAGCCACGTGTGACGTATGCCCGAACACCGATTACCACGACGTGCAATGCTAACCAGTGTTCGGGATGGTTGGAAGAAAGTTAGGGGCGGCCAAACCAAAACGTGGCATCAGTGCTTGAAGTCACTAACTTCTAGTCTGAGCCATATTGGTCGATGCAGACTACTTGGTTGGGATACGCGTGACTATCGTAACCAATGGTTGGAGACTCTTGGTGACATGGCTCAGAATCAATCACAATGGCGTCGGTGTATACACTCTCTGTTTTCCCTTAAACTAAGAGATGAATATCGATTTATATCTTTCTTCCTACGAACTAATTCTTTCTTCCTGTACTATATCTTTGTTTTATATATTACCACCATTGACTTAGTCACTCCTATGAATCCGGTGCTCATATTGCTGTGCTAATGCGGTATGGCAACTTGAACCGATGCATATATGTGCCTGGTCCTACGTTGTAGCTGACTGACTGATATATATTCAAATTGTATATACTATGTTGAGGTTAAACATCTGTAGGCCAAACAATTATTACATTTATTTTTTTAGTGCAGATTAATTGGATGTATAGTTTATAGAATGATTTCGAGACATCAATCGATCAGGTATTTGAAAAAAGTCTTAAAAGTCATTGCCTGCTATAAGTAACATAACAGGTCATAAAAATATCATTTGTACTTATATAATAGTTAACAAAACAACACTTACCTTGATTATATGATATGTACATGAATAATGAACAGGTAAATCTTGTTTATAGTGATTTTCAGCAGCAGATGTAGCAGGTCGATAACGAATAGTAGATAAACGATTAATTGGATCTATAGTAGACCATGGATTATTGTAATCTGAAGTGAGTAAAACTTCTTCTTCTTCTTGCGTAACAGATTTTTGTGATGTTTGTTTTTGAGCTATGGATAATGTGGACGTGTGGAGTGTAGGACAGAGGATAGAGATTAATGCATTATGCCATGATTGTGATAAACTAACTACTGCTCCTCCACTTCCAATACGTGAGGATGAATCATTTTGATTGGTAGTCATTTCGGGAGTTGGTACTTTGTTTAAGTGTTCGTCTGATATTAAACTTGTATATATTCTATAGCATGCCTAAGCACAAATGAAAGGTTATCAAGGCGAAAATGTCTATATTTAATAATCATAAAATAAATTATACAAACTGATAATGCGAAGATTAATTAAGATATTTAGTGTTTCAATATTAGTGGCTAAGTGTACTAAGCAATCAATTCCCAGGTCATGATTTTTCTCCTTGAATTGCTCACAAAAGTTGAACGACTAGCCAGTAAAACTGGTTACCACATATTAGATACAAACAATATTTCAGAACAAATAAATATGAGTAATTAAATCATGTCACTAACATTATAATTACCCTACAATCACAGGCTAAATATTCGAAATAAACAAAATAATCATTACAAGAAGAAAATCATAGTTAATGTAACGATGAAATATATAAACAAACCAACGAAAAAATATAACGTGTTATCGAAAAAAAAGTTTAGTACTTAAATTCAGACATGAAAGTGTAATAACCTTGGCTCCAAAGACATGTATTGCTTATAAAAGCATGCGTAAAGCATGTTAGTACTGGATTTCAGTCTCTAAGGAAATGAATACAGGGGTAGGTAAACCCAGTTTAAAAACTCTAAATAAAATAAGACCTATGTTCAAAATTGCATTGTTAGCCATGATTCAAAATATAATATGCAAAAAGAAAAGATCCGTAGATTTCGTAAATCAGAGCAACGTTAAAACCACATTAGGTTGAATAGAATTTTAAGACAATGATCTATTTTTTCCCATAATCAGTGTTACTCATCCAATATAACGGAAAAAGTTTCTTACAACTTGAGCGAAATTACAATTAAATAAAATGATGGATTATATAAAATTTAACTAAAATGATTATTTATTATTCATTTAATTTTCAGTTATTTTTAAAACACTTAACGCACATCCTGAATTGGTTGATTGTGTGAATTCTAAAACTCAACCCCCCCCCACAAATAAACCAAAATGATAAAAACAGACATGATAAGGTGTACAACATTAACTGCAGTTACATCACAAACCTCAGTCCAGGAAAACATAAATTCTTCGAACATCTCATCAAATAACCTAATAGCATTATGGATTGATATCAGTCAGAAACCTTTTTCTAATGAACTGTGACTATTTATACATAACAACTAACTAGATTATTTTGTAGCATCCTAAGAAGCTTCGTAAATAACATTCTTAAGTTTCTCTTATACATTGTCGTTTACGCCTATTACTCCGAATGGAGCATAGGCCGCCGACCACGCATTCTCCAACCCACTCTGTCCTAGGCCTTCCTTTCTAGTTCTATCCAACTTTTATTCATTTTTCTCATGTCTGTCTCCATTTCTTGACGTAATATGTTCTTTAGTCTTCCTCTTCTCCTTTGGCCTTGAAGATTCCATGTGAGGGCTTGTCTTGTGACGCAGTTCGGTGCTTTCCTCAACGTGTGTCCTATCCACTTCCAGCGCTTCCTGATTTCTTCCTCCGCTGGGATCTGGTTTGTTCTCTCCCACAGTACGTTGTTGCTGATTGTGTCTGGCCAATGGATCTGAAGTATTTGCGTAGATAACTGTTAATAAACACCTGTATTTTCTAGATGATGGCTTTCGTAGTTCTCCAGGTTTCCGCTCCATACAGTAGAACTGTCTTGACATTTGTATTGAAAATTCTGACCTTGGTATTGGTTAACAGTTGCTTTGAGTTCCAGATGTGCTTCAATTGTAGATATGCTGCTCTTGCTTTGCCGATCCGCGTCTTCACATCTGCATCAGATCCACCCTGTTCATCAATGATGCTGCCCAAATACGTAAAGGTTTTTACATCTTCCAAATCTTCTCCGTCAATTGTGATTAGATTGGTGCATTCTGTGTTGTATCGGAGAATCCTGCTTTTCCCTTTGTGTATATTGAGACCTATTGCTGCTGAGGCTGCTGCCACACTGTTCGTCTTCTCCTGCATCTGTTGTTGCGTTTGGGATAGAAGGGCCAGATCGTCTACGAAGTCTAGATCATCCAACTGCATCTTAGATGTCCATTGTATCCCACGCTTCCCTTCAGACGTTGACGTCTCCATGATCCAGTCGATCACCAGGAGAAAGAGAAAGGGTGAGAGTAAGCAACCTTGCCTAACACCGGTCTTCACTTCGAACGAGTTTGTCAAATGTCCTCCATGCATGATTTTGCAGTGTAATCCATCATATGAGTTCTGTATGATATTGACTATCTTCTGAGGCACGCCGTAGTGTCGAAGAAGTTTCCATAGTGTTGTTCTGTCCACGCTATCAAATGCCTTTTCGTAGTCAATGAAGTTGATGTAGAGTGATGAATTCCATTCAATTGAGTGTTCCACAATGATCCGTAGAGTTGCGATTTGGTCTGTACACGATCTATCCTTACGGAATCCTTCATTCTGTTCAACAATACCCTGTTGAAGACTTTTCCTGGTATTGAGAGAAGAGTGATGCCCTTGTAGTTATCACACTTGCTGCAAGTGTGAACATTGTGTTACAACAGATTTTTAAATAAGTGAGAATATCCAATGAAGAGAATCACTTTACTATCTATAGTTGAACACCAGTAGATACAAACCAGTTCTGAAATATGAATGTACTACACAAATCCTGTGTAGTGGACGATACTCACAATATTATTTGTAAGTAGTGTGTAGAGGAACGCGACGTCAAAATTGCAAAAATTATCAGATGGAGTGAAGAGTTTCAATGCATTGAAAGCACAGCATTGGCAGAAAACTTGGAGACCAGGCGAGAAGACAGTTCAGATAGCAGAACACACTTAGATGCAAATGAATGGCTAAAAGCTATATTTATGCGAAAACATGGTAACTTTTCTCAATAAAAATACATTGTTCCTGCCTGTTATCGTCTTTTACACCTGCACATTTCAGAATATCTCTTCAATATATCCAGAACATTATGAATTAAAATTATGTCATATGAAAATTTTAAATCTAAAAGTAATATGAAAAATAGTCAATTCTCTTTACGCTCACCATAAACCAAGATTTGCATGTTGGCAATTCATACGCAACTGTTGCTTGACCAAAAGAAGAATTTTTATTAGATGCTTGATCAATCATGCTTTCAACATGTAAATGAAGAAAAGAAGATAGATTATGCTGGGCTGGTTGGTCAGGTGCTGGAAAATTCCGTGGAGATGGTGGCGAAGTTGAACGAACAGAATCATTCGAATCAGTCGATAAGAATGTATAAGAACCAAAAAGATTAGGAATTTTGTCAGTAGACATGTCCGAAATGTGATTGATATTTTTAAGAATAAATTCGAAATATTCCTGAGAAATATCTTCGCAAGATGTACGTTGTTTAGACCCTTCCTTTGATTCTTCATTTTCTAACAGAACGTGTACAAAATTATGTCCTGGAAGCATTAATAATTGATTCGTTGAAATACTATAAAATGAGAAAACGTAAAGATAAAAATTTCGAGAGTGACATTCACCAATAAATAGATTCGCAAATGCAATGTATGAAAAATTAAAATTTTGGGCAAATTGAAATTAAAGTACACCGTTTCTGTAAAAAATTGCACTATATATCAGAAATATTATTTAAAATACCATTACAGTATTGAAAACTCTTAGGATTGGTGTTTCGACAATCATTCCACAACCTTACCAAGGGATATGTCAAGAAGCGAATGACACCTAAATTTCAAATTATGAACTGATCGTGGACCACCATTGGAAAGCTGGGAGAAGTTGACGGCTGTCTCTTCCCAGTACGAGACTCATCAATCATGTGCAATCACGATCCCATGTTAGGGAATCAAACCCAAATGAAAAATGGAAACGGAACACAAGATTTTATAGGAAAAGTGAGCGATGTTTTCATCTTTTAGTAAGATAACAATTATCAGGCGTTAAGTGACATGATCCGTTTTTTCAATATCAGTGAACATATGGAACCAGAGGAATGAACTCGAACGGGAACAAGAGACATTAGAAACACACTGAAAAAGTTCTAGAACTTTTATATTCAGTTAGAATAAAAACTAACAAAGCACTGTAAACACAACTTACCGATTGAAGAAAGAACATAAGGTTAATTACTAAACAATGAAATAAACTTAAAATACGAATTAAAGAAACCTTTGCATTACTAATCAACGACTGAAAGTACTCTCTCCTACCATCAAACAATAAATTATACGAAGGGACTCTATGGTCATACAACAGGAATTGAGAATCAATGAAACATTACTTCTTGAATTACTCTTACACACTTATTTTGATTAATAATTAAACCTTTCAATTGGAACACTTAGTTTAAACAACATAAAACTACAGGAATCATAAGTATAAATGATGGACAAATCAATTTCCAAATCTCAAAAACACCTAATTTTGCACTGAAAACATGAGAACCGAAAGTATTATTGGAATCTACAACAATAACCCTTAAGTAAATGAAATGATAGTACTAAAAGAACTATTAAATCTAATAAGAGTTCATCTACCGCAACAATCAGAATGTCGAGAATGAAAATAGTTCGAGCAAATTTATAAGTATAGAATTATAGAATACCAACGAGATGAAATACTATTAAGCTTCATAGAACAGGGAGTACTAATCTACTGAATCCCCGTTCACAGTCGTTCATATGTTGTCAGATTAGAAGGCTTCATCAAAGTGAGAAAAAATCTATGTAGGAAATGGTGTTCTTTAATAGTCTCTACATACGTCTCGACAGACTACAAACCGGGTGCAATCAGTAATGAGGTCTACCAACATCATGACCTCAATAAACACACTCGACATATATTGTAGCACTGATCGGAGAGTTTAATGAGTGGATTTGGTATCTGATCACATAGAACAATTGCTTTGGTGAGCAATGGGGACTTGTTGGTCGCCGATCAGATAATAGTGACCGTCTACTGCACCTTTGTGCAGAATACCTGTTTCTGGTCAGCACCAGCTTTCAACGTAGCCATTGGCGATTATCTCTTTGGCATCATTCCTCTGCAACTCAGCTTTGTGGTCAAACTGATCACATTACGAGCAGTTACCTCTGGCGGGGAAGTAAACAAGACCGGCACTACTTTTAGAGTACCTATCTGGACTCTGGTCACGGTTTGGTTTGCTGAAGCTTATCTTGCTTTTGGTGGTCAACGACTGCTTCGTCCCAAAAGGGTTAATTTAAGCAAATTGGTTGTAGCTTCCATTGCAACCATAAATCACACTGAGTTAGGTTCAAGATTATTAGCCAGTTCATCAAAAAATATGAAAGTTGATTGCGTTTGTAGGGAGAGGTGGTCAGTGTATGGCGTGGTGTCGTGGTATGAAAGAAAGCTGCAAAGAGCTGGCTTGTGTTGGTCCTTCACGACTCCCTGGCTGGGGTCCGAGAGATCGTGCAACACAGTGGCTAGAGACGTTATCAGATATAGCTCAGAATAAAAGCCAGTGGCGATCCTGCTGTAACCTTCTCTTACTTTCTTCATAAAAAGTGGTTGCTTCTTCCTTAACTGAAAAATCTCTTCTGATTGTACGTTTCTGTTTCCCCCATTATTATTATTACACTACCTTACACTAATCTGTTCGTTATTGTTCTTTTTTTGCGCTCCTTACTTTTTTTTCCTTCTCTTTTTCAAATTGTCATTCTTTTGTGTGGCGCATATATATTTGGTGCCCATTTGTACCAATATTTATGTGTTCAAATAAATAAAAATAAAGTAACTACGGCATTATTTGCCGACTCTGGCAATGATGTGGTGTAGTGATTTGAAAGAAAGCTGTATTGAACGAGCATCTGTTGATTTATCACGACTCTCTGGCTGGGGTCTTAGAGGATTGAGATATTGTCAGATATGATTTACAACAGGAACCCATGGTGATCCTATCTTGTTTTTCTTTTACATTCCTCATAAGAAAAATAAAAATCCTTTTACTAAAGAAGTCTCTCCCAATTGTAATATTAAGTAAGCCGTATCTACTGTCACTTATTCACTATTTTTAATTTTTTGGATTATATTACTTTTCTTCAGTTTTGTTGATGAATTTTATTTTTGGTGCCCACTTGTATCACATTTTATATGTACTAAACAAATAATAAGATTGATAATAAAACCCTTAAACCAAGTCTGATAATTCAATGTTACATCTAGTTACACTTTAGCTAACAAATATATGCTGAAGATAAATAAATACTGAATATATGTCCACTATTTTCCATTTATATATGGGAAAATGAATATACTTACTTGCTAACAAGACCAGTTTCATAAAATGTATTGAATATTTGAGTGACGATATTCTGTTCCAACTGCCTGACAAGCTTCCAATTCTAAGACAAAGAAAAGAATGATAGAATTATCAATCAGTTACAACCAGTAATAGATGACATAAGGTCTGGCATTAAGTTGTTCCGATCCAAGTTCTCTCACTTCAAATCCGAACAGAAGAAAAAAGAAACAAGCGAGGTGAAAAAACCAAGAAGCGGAAGTAACAGCATCGATTCGATTGGAAGGCATAGTATAGGAAATATGATTAATAAAGGATAACTCAAATAAAAGAATCGAAAATACGGACTGAAAACAATATTAGGATCTAAAAGGTATACAACAAATGCAACTGGATTATTTCAACCGACGATGAGTCGTGTAATGTACAGTCTATAATAATATATTACTATTATTGTAAGGGGTATAAACAAGAACTTTAAACCTCCTAAAAGCGTCCAAATTACGAACCGAGGATATTACGGGCTAATGCTGCGTCTTCGTTTAGCAGCCCTTGACACCTTCATCACATATAATGAACCACTATTTATGCATGAAAGCCGACGTACAACATAAGGTATGACAACTGATGTTACCCTACATGGACACTACTGTGAAGGGGAGCCACTCGTTTAGAATGGTCGAACACACTAACATGAATGCATTACGTTTGTGAGACGTAAACCCGATTCCACAAAGGTTGTAAGTACCATCCGTAAACTTCGGAATGTTTAACCATCCTCGTGCAAAATATAACAAATCGAACATTTTCAGCTGCACAATACAACACTCGTGAACCGAGTCACAGGAAATTGTCTGTTGAGAACGATCTACGAAAGAAATAATTCTGGAAAAAATCGGCATGACTTGGAGGTTTGTATACCAGGATAAATAAAACAGTGGATGAACGTTACGAATAAAACAAAAACCTATGCAGAAGCAAATTTGGGAAGTTAAATTGCACAGGCAGCGAAATAATGTTACACTCCAAGTAAACATAAAAA